TGTTCAAGTGGTTTTATATTGATGTATATCACTGTATTCAAGTTTGTGTGTCACATTTACCTTCTGTTAAAGTCATTCAAACATTTATTGAATTCTGTTTCTTTCATGCACAAGTTTATGACGTTTGAGAAGACCGCTGCAGGAGAAACATTTCCCACATTCCTCACATCCAAACTCCTTTATACCACTGTGTCCAAGAATGTGTCTCTTGAGATTACCCTTCTGGGAGAAACATTTTCCACATTCCTCACATTCAAACTTCTTTATACCACTGTGTACAAGAATGTGTTTCTTGAGATCACTGTTAGATGAGAAACATTTCCCACATTCCTCACATTCAAACTCCTTCACTCCATTGTGTACAAGAATGTGTGCCTTGAGAGTACTCTTCTGGGAGAAACATTTCCCACATTCCTCACATTCAAACTCCTTTACTCCATTATGTACAAGAATGTGTGCCTTGAGAATAACCTTCTGGGAGAAACATTTCCCACATTCCTCACATTCAAACTCCTTCACACCATTGTGTACAAGTAAATGTCTCTGAAGAGTAGACTTGAAGCCAAACTGTTTGCCACATTCCTCACAGGAGAACTTTTTATCTCTGCTTGACATTGTGAACTTCTACTTAGTTACACTTGGTCTTGAGATGTGACATCACAGTATCTGAAACAAAATATTTTGCCTCAGATGATATTCTTATAAAAGTACAGTTTATAAATGAAAACTACAAGTGACTAAATCAATTTGTGTAAAATAAGAGTAAAAAATAAAAAATAAATAAATAAAAAGGTTATATTAATGTACCGTATATCGCGGCCTATAAGGCTCTATTTGCTGTATAAGACCAGTACCCCAAATGTGACACTTACCCACTGACTCAGTAGTCCTTTACCAACCATCCTTGGTTTTTTTAAAATAAGGCCAATTCACTTCAAGTAACGTCATCAGATATTACCCGCTGGTGTAGTGTAAACACTAGTGACGTCACTGAAGCGTCTGCTATTTACCGGTAACTGGAACTAATGTCGGTGTCGAGTAAAATTTTTCCATTTACTTGAAATGGATTTACCGATTTATTTGTTTATTTATTTATTTATAATATACTGTAACATATTAAACACACTGCAAGTATTTTCTTTCATTTATACGGACGATCGGTGGTGGGAGTGTTCCCTCGTCTCGGTGGTGTGACTGTGTTCCGACTATTTATACAACAGGTGGTTCAACAGCAACCACCGTATTCTAATTGTGGTGTTTCATTAGGATTTGAGTGAAAAAGGTTACCGGTATGTACTTACTACATACATTTATTACACAAACATATTTATTTATATATATATATATAATATATATATATATATATATATATATATATATATATATATATATATATATATATATATATATATATATATATATATATATATATATATATATATATATATACAGGTAGTTCTGCTATAACGCGATAGTAGTGTTCTTGTAAAACATCGTGTTATAGAAATTCGTGTAATAGAAATAACAGGGCTTATGGAGAAAATAGGGTTAGGTGCAGATTACTCCAAATCAAAAAAAAATTTCGTAGTTAGCCTAACACAAAGGATAGCACAGTCTAAATAAATGTTACATTCATATCTAATAATGAAATCATACAGTAAATGTTACACTTTACCTTGAAAAAATATGAATATAACTTGATGGGGGAGAAGGGTGATGTTGAGGCTGAGGAGTCATGAAACATCAAGCTTTTCTTCAAGTGTTATAGCCTTTCTTTTACGATCACCACCGGAAATGCGATCACCAGAGTGCTTCCCAGAGATATTCTTCTTTTCCATAGTCACAAAAGTGGAGAAACAGTAATCAGAATTCACTGAGGACACTTAAAAACTTCACGTGTTTCAAACAAAGTGTGGAGTAAACAGAGCGCGCGGGTCTAAAACGCTATGTATTTTGTTTTTCTCTTATTTAAAACTTTACATTTTACATATACTGTACAGGTATACTGTATACATAAATATTACATAAATTATTTCTGCAATTCTTCGCAAACAAAACACATAAATCAATTGAACATGTGATGTCGAACGTGAACTGTAAACACTGCATAACCCCGCGCCAAGCCACAATGTACAGTACACTTTAAGCGCTACTTATTTTGTTTTTCTCTCTTATTTAAAATTTTACAATTTACATATACTGTACAGGTATATCTTCACAAACAAAACACATAAATCAATTGAACAAGTGATGTCGAACGTGAACTGTAAACATTGAGCCAAGCCACAACACTGTACAGTACACTTTAACACTTTAAACGCTGCGTATTTAGTTTTTCTCTTTTATTTAAATTTTTACAATTTACATATATATATATATTTCATGTAAATCCACAATGAAAACGTGGATAAGATAAATCTTGATAAAATCACACGGGAAAATGGAAACAACGGAGTACTTTAGCTTTCGTCTTTATTCAAGACGAAAGACGAAAGCTAAGGTACTCCGTTGTTTCCATTTTCCCGTGTGATTTTATCAAGATATATATATATATATATATATATATATATATATATATATATATATATATATATATATATATATATATATATATATATATATATATATATATATGATTATATATATTATATGATTATATATATATATATGTTTGTGTAATAAATGTATGTAGTAAGTACATACCGGTAACCTTTTTCACTCAAATCCTAATGAAACACCACAGTTAGAATACGGTGGTTGCTGTTGAACCACCTGTTGTATAAATAGTCGGAACACAGTCACACCACCGAGACGAGGGAACACTCCCACCACCGATCGTCTCGTGCGAAGCAAGCGTATAAATGAAAGAAAATACTTGCAGTGTGTTTAATATGTTACAGTATATTATAAATAAATAAATAAACAAATAAATCGGTAAATCCATTTCAAGTAAATGGAAAAATTTTACTCGACACCGACATTAGTTCCAGTTACCGGTAAATAGCAGACGCTTCAGTGACGTCACTAGTGTTTACACTACACCAGCGGGTAATATCTGATGACGTTACTTGAAGTGAATTGGCCTTATTTTAAAAAAACCAAGGATGGTTGGTAAAGGACTACTGAGTCAGTGGGTAAGTGTCACATTTGGGGTACTGGTCTTATACAGCAGTAGTGGGTGTTGCTTCTGGTAACATGTGTTGGTGGTGACTCAGTGACTCTCAGCTGGTGTTAAGTGTTGCAGTAGTGGGTGTTGCTTCTGGTAACATGTGTTGGTGGTGACTCAGTGACTCTCAGCTGGTGTTAAGTGTTGCAGTAGTGGGTGTTGCTTCTGGTAACACGTGTTGGTGGTGACTCAGTGACTCTCAGCTGGTGTTAAGTGTTGCAGTAGTGGGTGTTGCTTCTGGTAACATGTGTTGGTGGTGACTCAGTGACTCTCAGCTGGTGTTAAGTGTTGCAGTAGTGGGTGTTGCTTCTGGTAACATGTGTTGGTGGTGACTCAGTGACTCTCAGCTCAGCGTGGTGTGTTAAGTGTTGCAGTAGTGGGTGTTGCTTCTGGTAACATGTGTTGGTGGTGACTCAGCTGGTGTTAAGTGTTGCAGTAGTGGGTGTTGCTTCTGGTAACATGTGTTGGTGGTGACTGACTCAGCTGGTGTTAAGTGTTGCAGTAGTGGGTGTTGCTTCTGGTAACATGTGTTGGTGGTGACTCAGTGCTGGTGTTAAGTGTTGCAGTAGTGGGTGTTGCTTCTGGTAACATGTGTTGGTGGTGACTCAGCTGGTGTTAAGTGTTAGTGGGTGTTGCTTCTGGTAACATGTGTTGGTGGTGACTCAGCACTCAGCTGGTGTAGTCAGGGTGTTGCTTCTGGTAACATGTGTTGGTGGTGTTAGTGGGTGTTGCTTCTGGTAACATGTGTTGGTGGTGACTCAGCTGGTGTTGCTTCTGGTAACATGTGTTGGTTGTGACTCAGCTGGTGTTGCTTCTGGTAACACGTGTTGGTGGTGACTCTCCATCAAGTAAGGCCGCTGGCTGACTGAGTCTGTTTTAACAACAACAGTAGTGACACTGTCCCTACACTCTCCATGTGCACCAACAACTGGTGGTAGTGACACACATTACCCACCAACAGACAGTACTGTACTAGACAGGTAACACGTCTTACTAAAGTACCACGGTTCACCTTGGCTATATATAAGTTAATAAACAACTCACAGTGACGTAGTGAAGTATTAAATCCTCCAAGTTTGTATTTTAATTAACACATTTTGGTCGACTTAATGTTTACAAGTGAGGCGATGAACACTGTTAATAACTTACCACGAACAACTCAACTTTACCTAATATAAACTAACATCACGTAGTTTAAACAATTATTATTTACTTAATATTATCTGAAAAAACAAACTTTACTCTACTACTGATACACTTTTAAATAATTGTATTACATCTACTTATTATTGTATTATAAACTGAACACTAAGTAATATAAACTATCACCAGGTAGTTATAGTAACACTGAGTAATAATTAACTATCATCAGGTAGTTATGTTAGGTAAATATTAGTTAGTTGAGGTTAAGTAATAAATAAACTAGTTCGTGGTAATATTATAACACTGATCAGCTCCCCTCCCCCCAGTACCAAGGAAAGTACTTTATATACTTTCTTTGGCCGATAATTTTACATATATATTCATTAGTCTCTGTTACGGTACACCTCGGCTATGAAAATTTGTGCTATGAGTTAACATTAATTTTCAAAGGTTAACTTTTATAAATGAATCAGTGTTTGAGCTGTACTGCCAAGAGGATAAAAGTAAATATTCTTTTATTATATCATAACTTGATCTGTGTATTATTTTATTGTTTTATGCTCTTATATTGGGTGATAAAAGTGTTTGTATTACACAGTTATTTATTTTTTACATTCTTCTACATAAAACATATAAATGGAGTCTGCCCGTTTCGTCACCACTGCTCTACCCGTTTCGTCACCGCGTTCATTCCCATCATTATATACATGAAAGTAACTGTTGCTTGGGATAAAATAATAACAAACACAAAGATAATTTATTAAAGACGAAAATAAAACCTAAAACATTGTTAATACGCCTACAATTATCTCACTGCTCGATGGTTTATGCGCTGGTGCCAAATCGACTTTACTTTTTTTTCTGTATTTTGTTTAGTTACCAAAGGTTTTAATCGTTTTCTTTATTAAATAATTAATGTTCATGTATAATAACACAATACTTCTTGAGTCGTCTGTATACATGTGTCATATTGAGTCAACTAACTTCCTGTAGAGAGGATGTACTTTATCATCCAAAGTTTCAGTGCCAGGAGAGTTGTTCCTCACTTATGATGACGTCTTCTGTTTAGGGGGAGGGATGAGCTCAGGTGTCCGGAAAGAAAGTCACAATTGGGGTTAGAAAAAGTCAGGGATATAAACACATCTTTTAAACAGCCTAAATAATGTTAAGTTAGGTTAAGGTTTGTGACTATTTTCCTACATTCTGGGATGATGACACATCATGGAGAACCAGATCATTGTGTTCACTCAGTAAAGGTTTATTGATTCCTCCAAGTGCTGTACCCAGGTCCACACTGACACTTCCCTGGCCTAGCCTCCATCTAATGTATGAACATTTACAAGGTGAAAACAGCACTTTGAACTATGTGGGTGATGTGTAATGGTAGTTTAACTGGTATGTTTGTTTTAATACAAATCTGTTGAGGAAGTACACTTCAAATATATACATGGACCAATGGATAGCTCTTTTGGTGTGACACTAATTGCTTTAATTAAGTTCTGAACTTTTAAGTGGCGGTCTTGATGTAAACACTTCTTGGCATTATCTGTTTTTTTGCTGAGAGCAGGTGTATACACTGATATAATCTGAGAGAATATATTGTGAATTTTTCTCCAGGGAAGTGTTGTGAATAAAACTTTGAGATAACACTTCTGTTAGGTGTAAACTTTCCTGTCTAGTGGTATGGAGAGTGTAGTGGATTCCTCCCCTACAAACGCTTTTGTCGCTGAGTAGCCGACTCTGCGAATTCTCCAGCCGCACCTCCGCACCTCGTGTCTAGGTCAGCAACCAGCGCCTCCCTACATCACGGAGGTCAACTATTAAGCCACGCCTACCCCCGTTATATAAGACCTTACCTCGTGGTGACCTCGCTCTTTCTACCTACAGCCACCAACCAGCAAGCAACACCTCTCCTCCTGCCTTGCGGCTCCCACTCCAGCCGGCGACCATGGCGACCCACAAGCTGGTCCTCCTCTGAGCACCCTCACCAACCAGCTCTCTCTACTCAACGCTTGTAACCGTGCTGCCTTCCCAGCACCAAGCTGCATTGTACATCCAATATAATATGTATACAGAGAGCACATTGTGAGTTAACTTTCTCCATCCCATCCTGAGTGTGAACCAATATCCCATACCCCACAAGAGAACTGCCCCTCTCTGGGGTGTGAGAGAGTGGTAGCGAGCGAGCAGTGTTTACTGAATCGGCTGCACTAGCGTAGCTAGGGGGGCGGTCCGCCCCGGGCGGCACTTTTGGGGGGCGGCACTTTTGGGTTTGCTCATCAACCATATCTGCAGCTACTGGAGACGTTAATCCATCCCTTTGTATCGGCGGCAAGTTAATCCTTGTCGTGTCTGACCTAACACCTGACCCACATCATCACAGCCACGTCATGAGCTACACCCTTGCTATGCGCCCCCGCCACACACACAACCTGTAACCTGTTGAGGATTAAGGAAACAACTTCAAACAAGTACGCCAGTGAGCTCATGTGGTGTGGGTCAGGTGTTAGGTCAGACACGACGAGGATTAACTTGCCGCCGATACAAAGGGAAGGATTTACGTCTCCAGTAGCTGCAAAACCATGCAGTCTCGGGTCATATCAGTTCATGTACAGCCGACCAATCCACCAGTTACAAGCAATTCACTTCATTTCTTACACAAGTCTCCATCGTGACAAGACGAGGGGAGGCTAGACGACTTTTAAGTTCTCTTGTGTTTTCGATCCAGTTATTTACTTCGTTGGAAGACGTAATACTATAAGGTAAGAAATATTAAAGTATTGGTTAAAAAATATTGATGTGACTTTTGCTGCGGTACTGAGATTAAATATTAAGATTTTGTTTCACAGCATTGCGATTTTATACTAAGACACTATCCTCACTGGGGTACAGACAAAAGCCCCCCCGACAAAAGCCACCCAGACAAAAGCCCCCCAGACGAAAGCCACCCAGACAAAAGCCCCCTACTTTGATCGGGGTGGCTTTTGTCTGACAACAGTAAGGGCTTTCAAAAGTTTTGGATGATAAATATGAGTGTCAAATAGATCACGATCACGACGACATTGATAAAGAGGAGTTCCTCGTTGAGAGAAAAAGACTTCAGCATTTTGTTGCTGTTGCTGCTATAACTATTAAAGACAGAATACAGACGTGGAAAGAATGCCCCCTTGAACTTTTGCAGTTTATTCAAAAGTATAACCTTGGGAACTCGGTTTCAAATATAGTAATAATGCTGAGGATTTTCCTCACAATTGCTGTTAGTGTTGCTACCTGTGAGAGGAGTTTTTCGAAACTAAAAGTAATCAAGAATTACTTAAGATCTACTATGAGCACCTTGCGGTTGAGAAATCTTGCTATACTGTCTATAGAGCGACAATTGACAGATGAAATAGTTTTGGACAATGTCATTGAAGAATTTGCCAACAAAAAAACAAGAAAAGTTACTTTGTAGAAAGTTGTAGTTTTAATTTCAGAAATAAAGATGGTCCTAATTTTTTACACTTTTTTTACTTTTTTCCCTATCCTATATGTCGTTTTTGCTTTTTGTTTAACTGTTACTTATAAAGTTTAAGTATGTTTGGTGTGTATTTAAAGCATACTATATTTGAGTATGTGAAAGTACAGTAATATTATAATGGTACACAAACTATTTAATATTTATATATATATATAAGAGTGAGTCACTGTGCAATATGTATTTTTTGTGGGGGCACGGGGGGGGCAAACTCAAGGGCCGCCCTTGGCGGCACACACTCTAGCTACGCCACTGATTGGCTGATCCTGGCTTGAGCCCTACGACAGATACAGCCTCAGTGATCTAGTCATAAACAATATGGTGAATCACTTGTTGAATAATTTGATAAATAACTTGGAGTTAGGGGTATATTTATATACAGCAAAGGTGCTGTTGCAATCTAGTAAACCAACCAAACCTGTCTTAACCTATTGTGGAGACTGTGTGTCCAGCCAGGGAGGTGTAGGAGAGCGACCTGCACGTCCGACCAGTACGGCCAGCGTTCAGGAAGTGATTGGTCAACACACCAAAGACATTCATGGATGATAGAGAGTGGTAGTAACTCTCGACAGGAGCTGCCATACACAGGCCAACCGGCCTATTGCAGACTCCTTATGTTCTTATATATAAAGATATAGTTATTGAGGACTTGTATTACAGTTGAAGGAGATCACCTGAACCTTTAGCTGATGTTACAGGGTCGATTACTACAGCATCCAGGCGTCGTCTGTTGTCGTCACTCACACGATGGCGTCACTTCCTCGTTGAGTCACTCCTTCATATCGTCAGTGGCGCGTCATCAGATGTTGACGAGTGCAGCTGTTGAGTGTAGTCACGTTGCTTGCTGTCTCATTAGGCACTACTGAAGAGTTTGTAGTGTACTGTATGTGGCCAGTTGTCAATTCTCTTTAGTTGTCTATTATCTCTTTGTATGGGCACACAAACGTATGTACATGTAAATATCTCCACTCAGGAATGAGGTAGGGCAGAAACTCACAATGCGCTTTCTGTATATATATTGTTGTACAGCGCAGTGCTTAGGAGTGACTAGGTGAGGAGCTGTAAGAGATGTTGCTGGTCCAGTAGCCGAGTGTAGAATGGTCTCCCGATCGATCGATGGATGGGTGAAGTAAAGTATGAAGAAATCTTGATGCAGGTGCGTAGATTGGTGGTGCGGAAACTGGACTTGAAGAATAATGGTGGAATTTGGAGGGACTTGGGGTTGGTGGATAGTGCAGAAGAAAAGCGAGGAAATTGGAAAATAGTAGTAGAATGCTAGGTCTTGGGGCTCAACCCAAGTGCTTCTGTTTTCTCATGTTTGTGTTTCAGCTAATTTTCGTCTTAGGTATTATATTTATGTCAGGTGTTTGTATGTTTAGCAAATATTGCAATTTTATGCCTTACATTTTCGGGTCTTATGTCCTAGCCAATGGTGAGGAGTCTAGGGCAGGTACTTGTGTTTCTGCTAAGAACATCCCGTCTTTTTATGATCTA